AACAAATCATAGTTCTAGTTATTCAAAATGTCCACTGGATAAATCTAAAAAAATCTACATATCTTCCCTATAACCATGACATACTCACTGTCAAATAACACCAGGGTTTCTTTTTAGGAACAAGTGTACTGAATGCATCAAAAGGTAAAAATATTTAAGCCACAGATAAATGTATTTGTATAAAATTGGATTAAATTTGGATTATTTATGTCGCATTCAAAATACCTCATAATAACAGCCGGAAAAACCATTTTCATAAGGGTATAAAACAAGACCCAAAATGCTGAAGAGTAATAAAGATTAAAAATATTATCATACATAATATGAAAACATCAATCTGTAAAGATCTGTTTTAATTCTTCTAAATGAAAAACTTAATATGCAATCCTATAACAATTTATCTATTCATACCACTTGCAGACAAACAGATGCATGGAAAACACTCTAGGTTAACTCACTAGAAGCATTAAGTCTGTGAAGACTTTAGGCAAATAAAAAGTGTGAGTTATGTAAGCTTCGTGCAGCCAAGGAGGTAAAATAAGTAATTCATTTTTTAATCTTTTATAAGTTGGAAACTCTAGAATACCAACTCTAAGTAAAGGGGGGGAAGGCTAATGATCAGGAATTAATATTAAACAAAAAGAAAATTAACTTTTAAAAAGTAACTTTATAAAATTTATTCTCAAGGCAGATACTTTAAATAGATTGTTTCTAGATAATGTTGCTATCATGTATAAAAATAAAACATTTACATCCTCTGAAAAAGTCAAGGTCTACTAAGGGTTTAAAACTAATGTATTTATAAGATAGATCTAAAGCAAGAGATTTGACAATTCTTGGCAAAAAACAACAAAAAAACTAAATGATGCAAAAGATAAAACAAGATAGATAAATGTGTAAATATCAAAATGTAATTGTTTTTAGGTGGTGCTAATTACAGCCAAAGAAGCTATTTTATTAATTTTGTTTAAACAAGAATTAGTTCAATGTTACAAAATATTGGTAGAAAATAAGATTACGAACAGTACAAACTTCAAGTTCCAATCATCTAGTAAAAATGACAGAAGGCTTTCACAACTTACATTACCGAGTAAGCTATAGCAAATGAACAAACCTACAGTAAGACAATGTCCAAAAGTTTTAGTGGGGGGGGGGGGGGTGGGGGGGGGGTATACATAGTAGGTAATAATAAATAAAAACTATTCGTAGAAGAACAACTAAAACCTAAAA